CGAAGGTACTCTCGCGAACGCGAAGAGCAAATTGGGGTTGGCACGTTTTGTGCTTCGCGTTCGCGATATAGTGAACGCGTTCGCGAAGGCTTGAGGTGTAAAGCTTTGTGTTCGCGATCGAAGCCTCGCGTTCGTGAAGGAAAAAGGCTAACCAGGAAATTGCCTTCGCGTTCGCGAAGGTCAAGCCAGGCAAGCTTCGCGTTCGCGAAGAGTAAAATTAGGCAGCACAAATTTTGTGCTTCAAGAACGCGAGACACTGACTGCGTTCGCGAAGGGTAAAAATCCCAGAAACAGAACTTAAGTTCTGGAAATGAGGTTTCGACCCATTTTCAAGAATTTCTAATTTTTGAGCTCGGGTAAAGCGATTCTTGGGCGATTTTCACGGAAAAACATTGGGGTAAGTGTTCCTTATCCTATATTGATTATATTTCATGATTCCATACTCATTTATATCATGAATCCGTGAATTTATGGAAGAAAAATCAGATTTTTATAAAATCTTCCAAAAATAAAAATTTAAGATTTGAAGGTCCATTTGATATCGGAATTGGATAATTTTTATATGATTGAACTCGTAACGGAACGGGTGTTCGGATTTCGCGAGTTTTTCCGGGATTTGAGACGTGGGTGTCGAATATTTAAATAAATTTCGAATTTTTATCCGAAAAATTAATAAATTCATGTGGAATTAATTCCTATGATTCGTATTGAGTATATCGAATTATTTGTAAATAGATTTGAAACTTTTGGAGACAAAGTTAAAAGGAAAAGCGGTGGTCGAGTAATTGATTGGAATTTGCAAAGTGAGGTAAGTGTCGTGGTTAACCTTGACTTGAGGGAATAGAACCCTTAAACTATTTGTTATGTGAAATGCATGTAATCGACGTATAGGCAAGGTGACGAGTGTCTATATGTCGTCAAATTAATTATTTGCCTACTTACTTGAAAAATCATAAATTATTTTAAATCACGAATTAATTGTTATAAAATTATTTCTCTCCTATTCTTTGTCAAATATAAATTCTTGAATTCCTGCATTAATTGTTACATGCTATTTGAATTATGTGTATTAATTGTTATTTGACATTTAGGATATTATATATTAAACTGCCTATTTTCTCCCTGATTTCTATAATAACTTGCTATTTGTCATTGTTTGTTTCATAATTAAATCATAATGATTGTATGCTTATTGTCTTATAATTTTATATTAATTATTGCATTTATTTGGGAAATTTCTTCTATAAGAATTGGTAAGTAAATATATTGGAGGAGCTGGTTGCACGCCGCAATAGAATTAAATTGGTAAATGTATATATTGGAGGAGCGGGTTGCACGCCGCAATAGAATTGATCGAAATGAATATATATGAGGATCGGGTTGCATGCCGCAACAGACTTATTAAAAGTCCATATTGGAGGATCGGGTTGCACGCCGCAACAGACTTATTAAAAGTCCATATTGGAGGATCGGGTTGCACTCCGCAACAGACTTATTAAAAAGTCCATATTGGAGGATCGGGTTGCACGCCGCAACAGACTTATTAAAAAGTCCATATTGGAGGATCGGGTTTTACGCCGCAACAAACTTATTAAAAGTCAATATTTGGGGGATCGGATTGCACGCCGCAATAGACTTATTTAAAAGTCAATATATATACTTGATTAAAAATAATTATATGAGAGGATTGAAAATGAATATATTCTGAGAGTGGGTTGTACGCTGCAACAGAATTGAATGTGAATATATTGTGAGAGCGGGTTGCACGCTGTAATAGAATTGATGGAAATGATAATTGGTTATGATTGCTGAATTGGCTTCAATTATTATAAATGAGTTACCTGATTTATTTCTATTATTGTTGTTGTTACTAATATTGCGTACAGGTAATGTAAGTGAACCGCCTTAGCCTCGTCACTACTTCGTCGAGGTTAGACTCAGCACTTACCAGTACATGGGGTCGGTTGTACTGATACTACACTCTGCACTTCTTGTGCAGATTTTGGAGTTGGTCCCAGCGGCGTACCATAGACTTGCTCGGATTTCAGCTACTAGGGAGACTTGAGGTATAACTGCATGGCGTCCGCAGTTCTGAAGTCCCTGTCTATTTTACTTTAGCTGTGTGTTTATTTTCAGATAACTTTATTTTATTCAGGCCCTTATTTGTATTATTGTAGAAGTTCGTGCACTTGTGACACTAATTCTGGGATAGTATTTAGACACCGTTATTTTTATGAATTATTTCAGATCTTATTTCTGTATTTATTTCTTTATTATTAATAAATTTAAAAAAAATTATTTAGAAATGGTTAATATTATTCTAACGTTGGCTTGCCTAGCAAGTGAAATGTTAGACGCCATCACGGTCCGAAGGTGAGAATTTCGGGTCATGACAACCACCACCACCTTTCATATGAAGGAGGTAAATGAGAACTGCAGCGGATATAACAATTAGGGATTTTTTTTCCTGTTCTTTAAGTTGGGAGTTTACTTAAAGGAAATGCAAATTTCAACGAGTCATACAGAAATTCGAAAATAAAGAATTTATGGATTTAGTCATTAAACGACTATCCTTGAGATCTAAGAGGCATTGGCTCTGGCAGATGAGTTTGCGGAGAACGGCAATTAAGTCATTCGTGAGCAAACGCCTTATTTTTCTTTTAAACACTTGCTCCGACGAAGGTCGAGATGACGATGATGATAGCAATCAGATTGGCTGAAAAATTCGGATCTCTTTGGGTGGAAAAAACTGTGGTTTGAGGAAAATGGTTGGGATCTCTCTGGTGCCTTATTGTTTCTGCAACCATTTCCTTAACTAAAAAAATTGAATCTAATAGTTTCACTAGCAGTAATTATGGTGAGAAAAAGAGAGAAGAAGTTGAAGCAAATGAATTTTTTGGTGAATTTTCTGGAGGTTCTGAAAGTGCAAAATGGGCATGGAGGAGAAAGATAATTTAGCTGCAAAGAAGAAGATGATGATGTGGATATATGCATCTGACATGGATATGATGTGTTATCCATGTCGGGGCAAGTGAGACTCACACATATATGGAGGGGTTTAAACTATTCATTTTGATCGAGTACAAGTGTTTGAATGAAATTTTGTGAAATGCAGGGATTGGGATGACAAATCGGAACAAGTATAGAGGTTTACTAGGCTATTCTTTCGATTTTATTTGGACAAACTATATAATTTTATTAGGTAATTTCCTCAAAAAAGAGTGACTATTTGAGAAATTAACTCTGCTACTTAGAGCCCGTTTGGTTTTGCTAATTGTAAATAGCTGATAAGTTTTAAGTGTAAGAAAAGAATTTTTAAGTGTTGAAGCTGATTTTATAAATAGCAGTTACGTGTTTGAATGAAAATGCTAAAACTGAAAATAAACAATTAATGTATTTGATAAAAAAGTTCTAGTAAGACGTTCTTTTGCTAAAATAACTAAAGTGCTCTTAAATATTTTACAAAAATATTATAAATTTAAAAGTACCTTTGTAAAGAAAATGAGGAACAAAGGATACGAAGTGAAAAGGAAGTTAAGGTTCCGTTTTAGAAAAAGTATTTTGATAATTTTAAAAAAGTTAAGGATAAAATAGTAAAATCTTAATCAAATCAAAAGTGCTTTTAGCTGATTTTGACCTGCACTTTGAATATTAATGTTTACCAACGTAAATAAGTCAAAAGTTAATTAGGAGTGAGTTAAACTTATAAGCTTACCAAACATCTCTTACTTTGAATATATTGAAAATCGAAAGTGGCAAACAAGCACAATCATTTAAATCAAGAGTCACGGAATCAACAAATTGCTCCAAGCAAAAGACAAAAGACCACCTCCAGCCTGGGATTTTTAATAATGTTGCTTTTCCTGCCTAATAATTGGCATTACCTCTGTATCTTCTAATACAAACTACGTACAAGATACTACTAGTATAATAGTCACAACTTGACCTATACCTTTAGGAAAAGAAAAGAAAGAATACTGTGGGAAAGAACTTAAGTACAGTACTTTACAAGAAAAGTAAACATTTTCGTCCAAATTGTTTATGGAAACGAAACTGGTATCCCGCAACTGTATCGAGCAATTTATATATGGAGTATTAATCTTGGACAAAGATAGCAAGTTTTAAAATTGGTTATTATAAATTGTATATTTTTTTACCACGAACATCGGAACATGTTATAATTGTGAACTTGAACATGTTACGAACATTTTTACATGCATGGCATTGTAGTTGTTGGGAATGAAGTGAAGTTAAAAATGAAAAAGGAAGATTGCACCTGCAGAGTCTTTGCTGCAGAGAAGAATTTGTTGTTAGGATAGAAAAAGTCGGGTGTCATGCGGAAGCTAGTAATGCAAACTTTGAACGACGATAAATCAGACAGCAAACGAGAAATATACTAAAAGAGACACAAATATTTAACGTGGTTCGGTCAATTGACCTACGTTCACGGCGGAAGATGAGCAATCCACTACATTAAAGAGAGTAAAAAATATCGAGACAACAATCTCACTAAGAGGCAAACAAAAGTGACACACTAATACTTGTCCCGTAAAGTTCTCCCCCTAAACACGACTCTCAAACCCCATATATCTACATTATGGATGCCAATGATTGAGAAGGAATGATCCTCAATTTATAAAAGTCCAAACATTTTCCTACAAAAAAAAATGACTAGCCAAACATTAAAAAAAATTATAATTTCCTTCTACAAAAAAGAAAAACTCAATTATGATAAATATATTGTCATTTCCATGCGGATCAAGAGTGTTAAACAGAACAGCAATCATGGCCGTTGGGTAATTCATCGTGTCGTTAATGGATAGCTTTAGTGAGAAGAATAGTAAGGCAGTTAAAACTTTATTATTTTTCTTTCTTTCGAAATGGTAAAAGATGTTGATAATAATATAGAATTCAAAAGGCAAGGAAATGACAACCACGCAATACAGGTATGGAGATTTCTGTCGTTTTCTCTGTTCCTTTATGGGTCATATATAGCACTAGCACCCTGCAGTTTCCAAGCAAATTAATATCCTCCTTCAATGGCTTCCCTAATTTCTCTGCCCAAAGTATCTTTCTTTCTTTTACTTATAACTTTTGCATTTTTCTCTTCTCCTTCAGCTGCCCAAACGAAATGTAATATCAGATCCGTTTACCAATTCGGCGACTCACTTGCCGATGCCGGTAATGTCATCCGCACACCTGGTGCTAACATCATATTCCGCGCCAACAGAGCTCCTTACGGCGAGACATTTTTTAAGAGACCTACAGGCCGCTTCTCAGATGGCCGTATTATTATCGATTACATTTCCTCTGCTCTTAAACTCTCCTTCCTTAATGCTTACTTGGACAGTGATAATGTTTTTAGCCAAGGCGTCAATTTCGCTGTCGCGGGTGCCACAACGCTGAATTCCTCTTTCTGGGCTGCCCGGAATGTCAGGTTGCCCGCCTGGAACACGCCGCTCGCTAATCAACTAGGTTGGTTCAAATCTCACCTGCAGTCCACCTGTGGTTCCAATTGTGCACAAACTCTCAGCAACTCTCTAGTAGTAATGGGGGAATGGGGTGGCAATGACTACTATAATAATTTTTTCCAAAGAAAACAATTACCTGAGGTACGGACTTACGTTCCTTTCGTTGTTGCGGGCATTATGAGAGGCATTAAAGATGTGATTCAACTCGGGGCAACTCGTATTTTGGTACCAGGATTTTTTCCATTGGGTTGTCTTCCTCTATACCTTACAACTTTTCCTGATACTAATGCCAATGCTTACGACCAATTGGGATGCTTGAGAAATTATAATGATTTTGCTTCATACCATCACAGATACCTAAACAGAGGCCTGGATAATCTACGACGTGAATTTCCAAATGTTGGAATCGTTTATGGGGATTACAATGGGGCGTTTTTGACTGTTCTTCAAAGTGCTTCTTCCTTTGGATTTAATCAAAACACATTGCTCACTGCGTGCTGTGGAACCGGAGGACGATACAACTTTAATTTCAGTAATGTGTGTGGATCAGCTAGTGTAAGAGCTTGTTCTAACCCGGCTCAATACGTGCACTGGGATGGCATTCATTTGACAGATGAAGCTCATCGTCGTATTACAGACATTATCGTCAAGGACATGCTTTCAAGATTAGGGTGTACTGTTTAGATTATGACTTTCAAGATTCTCTTAGATTGTTATAGGGGTGCTTTTTCTTTTTTGGTAATAAAGAGTTTATTTGTTGGTGTTTAGTTGATAAGAGTGGGTTGCTCTAGTGGTGTGCACCCTCCACTTTCAACCAAGAAGTTGTGAGTTCGAGTCACCCCAAAAGCAAGGTGGGGAGTTCTTGGAGGGAGGGAGTCGAGTGTCTATCGGAAACAGCCTCTCTACCCCAGGGTAGGGGTAAGGTCTGCGTACACACTACCCTCCCCACAGGGTTATTGTTTGTTGGGTGTTTAGAATATGAAGATATGTATCCTTTCTTCTTCAGGAAGAGGTGGAACAGAATATAAATAAAAGAGTGATTTTGATGATCTAACAAGCCTAAATATTAAGAACCGGGAACATGTTCCACATCTTCAAAGTACTCAACATCAACAAGTCTCAAGTCTGGGACATGTTCCAATATTCAGAGTCAAAGAAACAACAGAGGGTCCCTAGCTGACAGTTCAGTCAACTTCCCATAGGTGTAAAGTGGCTGCAACTGTTCCTCTGCACACACACGCAACAGTGCAAACAGTGGAGCAGTCACTTTATGGAGAATGCCCTTGTACCAAATATGTTTGCATCACTCAAGTGATGTCACTTGTGTAATATTAACATGAAGCAAAGTAAAATCAACACTTGCACGTTCCAGATTTCATCAAGCTCTCTCTCAAAGTGTGTCGCGGACTTGCAAGTGATTTTCAGGCTTCAAGACCAAAGAACAACATAACGAAGGACCAGTTTCCAGCATTGTATCATCACATATCCCTAGTTGTGTTGTACCTTTGTTAGTGTGATTTAATTATAATTCCTACTTAGCTTAGCTAGAAGCATCGTGTAGGAAACAAATTGTAAAATCATAAACCTTGTATTTGTGTCTTGGATAGAGTTAGTCAAGTTGTGAATTTAATAACACAGTGATTATAAAGAGGCTTGTAATAGAGTTATTACGAGTGAGGGATTAAGGTTTTAATTCCTAGGTTACAATAGGTTGTAATCTGAACTTGCTCGGTTAGTGAAGTTGAAATCCTACAAGTGTAGGTTATGGTTTTTCATCCCGTGAGCTGGGAGTTTTCCACGTAAAACTCTGTCGTGTCATTTACTTATCTCTTTGTGTGTTCTGTGGGAACCGATATAGAACTCGATTCTCTATACAGTTTGGTGGACCCTCAGTTTCTACCAATTAGTATCAGAGCAGGTACTTTCTATCGGGCTAACACCTAGAAAGGATCCTCATGGCTGCTCCACCAAACTTTGAAGAAGGTCAATCTACCTACAGACCACCAAGATTCAATGGCCAATACTACGGATGGTGGAAGACATGGATGCATGATGAAGATTCAGAGCTCTGGGATGTTATCTGCGATGGTCCTTTCGTTCCCATGAAGACCATTGGTGAACCATCAGTGACAGTTCCCAAGAGATGCTGATCGCAAGGCTATAGAGAAGAACTTTCGAGCAAAAAAGATCCTCGTCTGTGGTATTGGGCCAAACGAATACAACATGATTTCTTCCTGTCAAACTACCAAGGAGATCTAGGAAGCTCTCCCAACAGCACACGAAGGGACAACTCAAGTCAAACAGTCGAAAAATTGATATGCTAACCACTGAGTATGAACTCTTCAAGATGAAGGATGATGAGTCCATCCAGGACATGCACACTCGCTTCACCTCTATCATCAATGAGCTCCATTCTCTGGGAGAAATCATTCCAAGGAACAAACTTGTCAGGAAAATACTTAGTGTATTACCTGGTTCCTGGGAAAGCAAAGTAAATGCTATCACGGAGGCAAAGGATCTACAAAAGCTGACCATTGATAAACTCATTGGTAATCTAAAAACTTATGAAATGAAGAAGAAGAGGAATCATGAGAGAAGAAAGCCCAAAAGGGAGAAGAACCTGGTCCTCAAGACAGACAACAATGACTCAAGTGGTGAGGATGCTGATATGGCTTACCTGACAAAGAGATTTCAGAAGATGGTTCGCAGAAATGGAGGCATTCCAAAAAGGGGCAGCTCCAGCAAGCCAAGAGGGTATGACTTATGTCATAAGTGTGGGAAGCCAGGACATTTCATCAAGGATTGTCCTCTCCTCAAACAAGATTAGTACAAGCGCAACACTGATAAAGCGGCCAAAAGGAACTCGGTTCCTGAACAAAGATTCAAGAGAAAAAATACCGTTGACAATGTTGTGAAACAAGTTCTTGCTGCATGGGGAGACTCTTCGAGTTAATCTGGAGGAGATGATGAACAAGGTGACAGCTCCATGATGGCAGTTGAAAGTGAAGCAATTGACTATGATTCTATCTTTGCCTTAATGGAAAAATGTGACGATGATGAAGATAATAATGATGATGAGGTAAACTTTCTAGACGTTCAAAGAAATCTCAAGTCTTACTCTCAGAAAAAGCTTATATCTTTGGCAAATGTTTTAATTGATGCTTATCACAATCTTATAAATGATAAAAATGCTTTAACTATTGAGCTATGAAAGGTAGAAAATGAGAGAGATGGTTTAGTAATCGTAGTGGCTGACCTAAAAGAAACCATAGAGGATCTAATGAGAGAAAAGAGTGTTCTGAATAAAAAAGGTGAAGACATAGAAAATAAGAGAGATGACTTGTTGGTAGTCGCCATGGACCTAAAAGAAACAATAAAGGAATTAAAAAGGGGAAACCGTTCTGGGACTGTCCAAAAGGGAAAGGAAGTTGCAAGTGAGGCATACATTAAGCTTGAAAATGAACTCAAATCTGTGAAATCTAGTCTGTGTGCTGGACTTGAAAGAAACAGACAGCTTCAAGAAGATCTAGGCAGAGTTAAAAATGACCTAAAAAAATCTCTAAAGTGGACCTGGTCCTCTGACACAATTGCTGTCATGTATACAAGCAATGGTGGAAACAGACAGGGAGTCGGGTTCCAAAAGGAAAAGACTCCCTACAATCCATATAGCAAGTATGTTATTATCCCTGATAACTGGCTTTGCACTCACTGTGGCAATACTGGTCACTTTAAAGAAAACTGTAAGGCTAGAATTCATTCCCAACAGAAAAATAAGGTTTTTATTGAAAAGGTAACTGATGCTAAGGAACCTGGTCCCTCCGTTAAAAAATATATATTGCCTACCTGGACAAAAAGAAGTTTAATTCGCCCTTTTCCTCACTACAAGGAACCCAAACTTGTTTGGGTTTATAAGTCTAATCCTTGATTCTCTTGTGCAGGGAGCAGTGAAAGGAAGCAACCAAAAATAGTACATGGATAGTGGTTCTTCTAAGCACATGACTAGAAGCATCGATGATTTTCTTTCACTCAAAGCCCTGCAAGGAGGGAGTGTGTCCTTTGACAATGGCAAAAAGGGATACATTCTGGGAGTAGGAAGAATTGGGAAGTCACTCACTCAATTAAAAATATGTACTATGTGAACGGCTTAAAATATAGCCTACTAAGTGTTTCCCAAATCTGCGACAAAGGAAACAAAGTGGAATTTGTGTCAAAAGTCTGCACAGTCACAAATCTTGTGACTGGTGAAGTGGTCCTGATGGCAAAAAGATATAAAACATTTATGTTGCTGATTTTGAGTCCTTGCAAAATGGGGATCTCACATGTTTGAGCGTTGTTGATGATGATGCTGAACTATGGCACAGAAGATTGGGTCATGCAAGTTACTTTGCTGAACAAATTGGTCAAGAAGGACCTGGTTTGTAGCATGTCTAAGTCAAGCTTTAAAGATCACAAGGTGTGTGATACGTGTGTAAAAGGAAAGCAAGTCAGGTCCTCCTTCAAGCCCAAAAAGGAGGTCAGTACCTCAAGGCCACTTGATCTTTTCCATATGGATCTGTGTGGACCTATGAGGGTGACAAGTAGAGGAGGAAAGAAGTACATTTTTGTTATAGTGGATGACTATTCTAGATTCACCTGGACCTTGTTTCTCAAAACCAAGGATGAAACTTTTCTAGTGTTTGCTGCGTTTGTGAAGAATATCCAGGTGAAGATGAGCCATAATGTTGTGTGTATAAGATGATCACAGCACAGAGTTTGATAATACAAAATTCGATGAATTCTGTGTTGAAAATGGCATAAGTCATAATTTTTCAGCTCCAAGAATACCTCAACAAAATAGTGTTATTGAGAGAAAAAATAGGACTCTTGAAGACATGGCAAGGACAATGTTGATTGACAGTGGCATTGCAAAAAACTTCTAGGCGGAAGCAGTTAATACTGTATGCTACTTGGTGAACAGGTGCATGATCAGGTCCCTCCTGAACAAAACCCGTATGAACTGCTGAACAGGAGGAAACCCAAGCTAACACATTTAAGGATATTTGGCTGCAAATATTTTGTCCTTAACAATGGTAAGGAAGCACTTGGAAAATTTGATGCTAAAAGTGATGAAGGAATATTTCTGGGCTATTCAGCACAAAGCAAAGCCTACAAAGTCTACAACAAAAGAACTCAATGTGTTGAGGAAAGCATACATGTGATCTTTGATGAATCACACCAACTATGTGGGAAAGATTCACATGATAAGATTGATCAAGAATGAGAGTAGTCAACAGTTCCTGGTGAAGTCATTGATATGGCAAATGGAAAGGCTGATGATGAGTCACGTCAAGGAATCAAATAGTGATAATGCAGATGTATCTCCAGCTGATGCATAGGAACCTGGTTCCTCCATCACAATAACTGAAGTTGAGAACAGAGTCGTTGATGTTGTGCAAGGAACCCCAGATGCTGAGCTGAGAAGCGGGACTCAAGTCAACAATGGGTCACATTCTGAAGAACCTAGACCCTCTCATAATGAGTTTCAGGTGTCTAACTGGAAGCACAAAAGTTCACCCCCTCTTCAGAATGTGATCACTCCACTTGACTCAGGGATTCAAACAAGATCAAAGTCAAGAAACTCACTTGCCTTCTCAACCTTTCTCTCTCAAATTGAGCCAAAAAATATCAAGGAAGCATTGAAAGATGCTGACTGGATTACTGCCATGCAAGATGAACTCCATCTATTTGAGTGAAATAGTGTGTGGCACCTGGTCCCTCGACCTACTAATAGAATTGTCATAGGATCCAGGTGGGTATTCGAAAACAAACTTGATGAGTTTGGAAACACAACAAGGAACAAGGCAAGGCTAGTAGTTCAAGGCTACAATCAAGAAGAAGGGATCGACTATGATGAAACTTTTGCTCCAGTTGCTTGAACGGAAGTCATCATAATTCTCATTGCCTTTGCATATCATATGGAATTCAAATTGTTCCAAATGGATATCAAAAGTGCATTTCTGAATGGTTTTCTAAAAGAAGAAGTCTTCGTCAAGAAACCTCCTGGCTTCGAAT